CGAACGAATCGTGAAGATGGGATGACATGATACTCACTTTAACCAGCATGCGCTTGTCGGTTGGTGTAAGCTACATTTTTGTTTCGAACATGTGCACGTACAGATTGACAATATAGGACAGAAGCTCTTCGTAACCGATTGTTTTTTCCAAATTATCTTTCACTGTGTCCCGAATTTTGTTCTGTATAGAGAGAAACATGAATAAATTCTGCGACTCAAGCAGGGTGAGTGAATCTGCCATAACTTTCAAGTACTGGGTGACACTGAAAAAAGAAGCAATGGTGTAGAGACTTGTCATAATACTTTTGAGCTGCAACAGAGGTTTGATATGAATCAGAGGGAAGGGAGAAAACTGGTTGATGTCAAGAACAAAGGACTTAACTCTCCACAATGCGACACAGGGTTGCCACAGAGTTTAGAAAAGGAATTTTCCAGACTCATTAGGGTAAAANCTGTGTCCCGAATTTTGTTCTGTATAGAGAGACACATGAATAAATTCTGCGACTCCAGCAGGGTGAGTGAATCTGCCATAACTTTCAAGAACTGGGAGACACTGAAAAAAGAAGCAATGGTGTAGAGACTTGTCATAATACTTTTGAGCTGCAACAGAGGTTTGATATGAATCAGAGGGAAGGGAGAAAACTGGTTGATGTCAAGAACAAAGGACTTAACTCTCCACAATGCGACACAGGGTTGCCACAGAGTTTAGAAAAGGAATTTTCCAGACTCATTAGGGTAAAATTCCTTGACAATTGAAGATATGTCAGATGGCTGAAAGACATAGAACTAGGGAAAGAAAAGAAGAGACAAATGTCACGTCCAAAAATTGCACCATTCAACAGATATTTACATGCTAACCAATGGGCCAACTGATGATTGATGCATTCAGACTGATGTGACTTTTGTCTCTTCTTTTCTTTCCCCAGTCCTAATAAACTCTAATTAAAACGTAAAAGATTGCAATATTTATTTTTGGACAGCTCTTGTAGAGACTTTTGCGATATTACTTCTGTACACACATTTTTTAAAAATTATCTTCATTCAGGTACACAGGAGAAAACTTCAAAATGGAGAAATTTTTTTATTACTTTACAGCCATAAACTTACCGGCGATGGGTAGAATAA